ATGGCGTATACATCCAGTATACGCCAACTAACTCTATTTTTTTGAAAAGACCCTTAAATTTTTCTGTTTTTACTTAACTTGCTATGAGGGAGACGCTTGTCCAGTAAGCTCAAGTTATCTTCTCTGAATATCGCAAAAATTGTCAACAATCATAGTTTTAGCCAAAAAAGTGGCTGTAGGATTTTGCTAAATATGGTAATTATAGCGTTTCAAATGAGCTTATAAAACGATTTGCTATCACACAGAAAAAGTGGACAAATTTTTCAAAACTTATATCTCATCGCACCGCATAAAAGATCAAAGTTGGCTTTAATGGCTCGATGAAAAATTGTTACTAACTTTGATTAATTCTGTATATTAAGCATAACGTGTAAATTAAAAGAAGGTAGAAAGTCCAACTCTTATAAAATTTACAAGACATTCGGAGAATATAGTGCATCCTAAAAGTGACAAAGCTCTAAAAAAGACAGTGTCAAAGCTCAAAATGAGGAAAATAATCCATCGATAAATCAACGATGAGTAATATTATCAGTTCTTTTTGAATGTCTAGAAATGAAACGTATAGAAAAAGTGAGCTATGTAAACGGCAAACCATAATGAAGAAATTAAACACTTTCTTCTTTAAAAATTAACCGCTTTTTCTTGACGAAATGATTCCTAACACAATTTCAAAAAACTTTTATAGGCGCTGTAATCAAAAACATTGCATTTTTTTGGTCAGCAGAAAACTAATTATTCGTATGAAGAAGTTTGAACACAAACAAAAAAAAATTTTGAACTGGGTTGATCAAAAACAAAAACGAACAAGGAGAGCCGGTTGCTGCGCAAGTAGCACAAAATGTTCCGACCATAATCTTAAAAGACTATGAATATATATTTTTTTAAACGATAGGCCGAAATAGGCCGTAATCTGAACGAAAAGCTAGATTTTAAACGTTTCCGATACTCATAGTAAAATAGGCATATTAGAAACCAGTTTTCCTCAAGAAACGACAAAAAATCGAAAACAAGATGGCCCTAAAAACGTTGAATTTCTATTTTATTAGATTTTTCAGAGCTTGAATAAAAAAACTTAATAAAACTCACTACTTATTTTTGACTATCCTACTATAATAATCCTGCTCGGTCGCTTTACTTGCACGAAATTAGTGAAAATATCAAAAATTTAATTCGAAATTACTCAACACTGAGAAAAATTTTGTAAAAGCGACTAAAAGAGTTTTAATACGATATGTCACTCAATTCAGTTCAAAGATTATATGTGGTAAAAAAACGCTGATTTTGTAGTAAAAATCTGAAACACACCCGAATACAAGTTTCTCCTCATTTTCAACGGTCAGAACAACGAGAATGGCGGGTTGAGATTCAAGTATTACAGATTTTTATAATCACACCTATTTTTTACAAAGAAGTAAGAAATTAGGGGAAAAAAATTACAAAAATCTAAGAGTCGTTTTTAAAATTAATCAAACCAATTTATTCTTTGACTCGATTTATTTAATACGAATTTTGGAATCGGAAAAATTGGAGTCGAAAAGTTTTCTGGCAGCTCAATTTGTGGCCACCTTATCTGTGATACCCTTTTTACGCACCGAGATCTATTTTTTTGCAGTTCATTTTAGTGCATTTACAATAAAGTAAACGAATTTTCCGATTATCTTCAAAAGGTCTCATAGCCCAATAAAGTTGTATTGACTCTAAATGTTTTAAGTGAGCAGTCATAAATTTTGTCACAGTCGAAATTAATACTGCAAAGTCTGATCGAAATTAATACTGCAAAGTCTGTCTGAAATGAAATTATAGTCTGATTGAAGATAAATGCAAAAAAGAAAATTTTGAAAAACCTAATTAGAAAACTTTTTAAATTTTTTTAAAATTGAAGTTATTATCTAAATTATTGACCAACATTAAAAAATTTTTCAATCGCTTTTTTACCTTTTTTTACCCTAATTTGAAAGAACGCTATAAACTTATCATCAAAACGTCTGTTTTCAGACTTCTTCAAGCGAGTTTCATCACCTGCTTATTTTGGTTTCGTATCACCTTTTTGAAAGAACTAGAAACAAAAGCTTCAGAAAATTGAGTAAAAATTTGAGGATTCCACAAAACTCAAAAAAAAACAAATAAAGAAATAAATTTTCCTCGATTTAATACTTAAAGATGCAAATAGGGACTTAGTTCACTTAAAATAAATTAAATCACTATGTAGTTCTGAATTGTTTTTAACTTCACTTTGGCAATTTTTTGACATTGTTTGCTGGTGTTCATAAGTAATCAAGCAATTGATAGGTATGTAGTTATCGATTCAATTTTTTTATTGATTCAATACTCTTTTGTAAATTTTTTTTCTGTGAGACGTTTCAAAGAGTACACTAGGACTCGATATTATACATTTGGGGAACAAAAATTTTGTAGACCGACAGAAAACGTTTTTTTTCGTCGTAAACTTTCTCAGCCTACAAAACAGGTTGCCAATTTGTCTAACTGTTTTTTTTTTCGAATAAAGTCCTAATTTTTTTTCTGTAAAGATGTTTCGCAATTTTTTGTCTTCTATGGTATTATGCCTAGTTGATTGACAGTTCTCTATGAACTTTTATGCCATTATTCCTTCCGAAAGTTATTTATTGGTTTTTATTGTTCCGACTTTCGTAAAGAAAGTTACGGATTATTTGTGCTCGGGGTGGTTTTTTTCTTTGGACAAATTTCGTCTGACAAATTTCAGACAAACTAGCTTTTTTTGACGGAATCGTTTTATATCATTCAAAAATGTACTGTTGTTCTGAGCTTAAATTTGAAAATATATATATTTCACCTTTGATCATTTTTTATAAAGTTATGGGGCTTATGGACTGTCATTTTAACTAATTTGGGACGATCAACGTGCGATATATTTCTCGCTATTAACGCGTAAGCGGAGATTTAATTCGTCTTAGAAATCGTTCCAAATTGGTTGAAGGAAGTTTATTTGCCAAAATTGATTTGTTACTAGTAGCGAAATCTACCACTTTATACTTTTTATGGCGTGTGGTGGGATATTTTCACAAAAAACCTCACATTAAAAAAATCTTCTGTTTTATTACATTCATTTTTTCATTTTATTACTTCTCCTTAGACCTTAAAAAGCAGTCTGATATATTCAGGGCTTTGTTCTGATACGAGCAGTCTTGTTGTGTTAAGGGTTAGTTTTTTTTTGCCTTTTAACAAGTGATTTGTTTCGTGTATGGCTTTCTTGATCTGCATTTTAGGTTTTTACGATAATATTGTCTAGATAAATGTATCATCAGCATTCGTAAACATGTGATTAACTTGCCGAGTTAGCTGATTTTTTAGCCGGTTATGTAATAAAGCAAATGGCAGTGGGCTTTCGGAACATATTTTAACCTGTAAATGTTTTCAACCTTTGAATTTTATTTGGAGTTGTATACAAATTATTTCTTGTTTCCGTGTTAATTTCCCGTGTTAATATCCGTGTTAATTTCCCTGTTAATTTCTATTAGTTTCAATGTTGCCTGTTAATTTTTATCAGTAATACCGCGTCTGTTCAAAACACTCCATACAAAACAGTCCAAAATGAAATCGTCTGAAAAAATTTGAAAACGAACCAAAAAACAGTCCGATTAAACAACATGGTCCGAAAAATAGTCCCGCATTGTAATTGTTCCGACTTTCGAAGAAAATGCGGAACATCTATGCTTGGTGCAGTCTTTTTTATTCTTTCAATTTTTGACTTGTTAACTAAGCGGTTTTGACAGAATCTGTTATACAATCTGAGAGATAATTTAATCCTAAGCTCATATTTAAAAAGATATTTCAATCCTGAGTTCAAATCTACGGGCGCTTGAAAATTGCTAATTTGGCTAATTGGGGATAATTAAAGTGCGATATATAATGTACTTATAACACGCGTAAGATGCAAATTAATGCCTTCTAATTTGAAACGAGGTCAGCATATTAATCATTATCACAATACTAGACGCTAAACACGCCCTTAGTATTTTACATAGCGTGTGGGGGGACAAAATGAAGACAAAATTCATCTTTTATCTCAATTATTTTGTCAATTATTCAATCAAAAAAAATTCAATCGGCCGTAAGTGCAGTCGAAACATTAAAATTTCAGGGCTCTGCAATGATATACGAGCAGTCTTGTTATTTTCAAACGCCGGCAGGCCGAGAATTGTCCTTTTCCTTTTGTTTAAACAACATTTAAATGCACCAGTAACTTATTCGAACCGAACCAAAAATTTAGGTATGCCACAACTCTATAAACTGAAACAAGACTGCTCGTATTAGGGCGAAGCCCTCAACGTTCCGACTGCCTTTTAAGGTCTATGGAGCAGTAATAACATTAAAAAAAGATAAAATAAAACAATTTTTCTTAATTTGATTTTTATTACAGAAATCATCCCCCACACTCCATATAAAGTGGTAGGTTTCGCTCCTGGTAACAAGTAAATTATGGCAAATAAGCTTTCTTCAACTAATTTGGAACGATTTCTAAGAGGGATTTTATAGCTTCAAATGAAATGAAACATGAATTTTGGGTTCGAAAAAATAATATAATACTTTTTGAATGATATTTTAAAAATCCGTCAAAAAAGGCTAGTTAAAAAGACGAAATTTGTCCGAAGAAAAAACCAATCCGAGCACAAATATTCCGTAACTTTCGTTACGAAAGTCGGAACAACAATAAAATCAGTTTTTAACTGTGTATTGAAAAAATGCCTAGAAAAAGTGCCTGGAAGAAAATTCGTTAAAACTAAAACAAGTTATCCGGTTAATGTGCATGTATCACCAAAATTTTGACCAGAGGGGCTGTTGCAAAGTATGAAAATTTCATTTTGCGAACTTTTTTCTGGAATGTATATTTATGGCTCAAGAAAAAAACACCGAGAGATCATTAGATTAGTTTGGATACTATCGTTATTGACCTAAGTTTAGTCACAAGTTTTTTTTGTCTTTCATAACAAATTTTTAATTCCGAAGTCAAGTTGACTTCCTGAGAAAGGAATCATTTTGACTTTAACTTTGCGAATTGAATTAATGATGTCAAATTACAATCGAAAATTAGATTGCTCATTATTACCTTATTAGCAGTGGACTTTTCAAATTATTGTCTTTAAATTTATGTTAATTAATATCCTTAATTACCTGATATGTTATTTTACCCAGCTGGGCCAGCAGTTGTACAAAGACCAATTTTTGCCTACTGCCCAATTGGGATATTCTGCTCGAGGTTATTTGGGCAAAGGCAGACGAAGAGCAGCAGCATTAGTCGCCTACTACTGTTCATTCACAGTACAATATTTAGTCACTCTTTTTCTGTTAATGTAAGCTTTTGTAACGTGCGCACTAATCAGAAGTCAATTCAAACGTTTCTGAAAATAGGGTTAAATTTTAGAGTTCAGAGCCAGTAAGACATCTTAAGAACCCGAATCATAAAATTGGGAAAAAAATCAAAAATTGAAGTTCGGCATTCAAATACTGTTGTAATACATTTAGATAATTACTATTTACAAAAAAAAACCAATTGCCAATTTTTTTTTAAATACAAGAAAAGCCAGTAACCTTGCAAGTGGCACAGAATATTCCGACCGTAATAATCTAAAAAGTATAACAATTTTTTTTTCAAGTTAGTGTCGTTTTTTTTCGGCGTGATGGGATAAAAGATCTGAACGAAAAATTAGAGCTCAGGCATAGTCCACAGTTTTACAGTTATAGTAGAAAAAAAAATTGGAAAACAATTTTTTAAGGAAAATTGCCTAGTAAAATATAAAAATAAAAAAAAAATCAAAAAATTGTTTCAATTTTTTTTTGAAGTTTTTTTTAAGTTTGTGAAGTTTTTGATTAAAAAAAGCGCTGAAATACTTAAACAAAACTAGTTTTTCTTGAATGAAACTAACTTTTGCGGCTTAAATTAGGCTATTGCAAGCTTTTAAGCCATGAAAATAAGCTATTGTAAGCTTGCTCGCTCGCTTTATCGGTCGAATTATGACTAAAAACGTAAAATTTAAAACCGGTTGTTCTCGACACTGAAAAACTTCACAAATTGTTTTGAGCTCCATCGAATGATCACTAAAAGTGCTTAATTATGACATACCACTCAAATCTCTCTGATGATTATTTGTGGTAGTTGACACTGCCTGGAAAAAAGAAAAAACACACCCGAATTTAAGTTCCTTCCTTTTTTCAAGTGATTGGAATAATAAGCCAAGCGAAAGTTATTTCGAAAAAATTTGATCAGGCAATTTGATCGCTTTCCACTTTATGAGGTTTCTACAGGGAGGGATTTAGGATTTCCTCAAAGAAGAGTGTGGCGGATTTTCAAAAAAAAAAAAATCTGACATTTTATGGTACCTTTTGTAGGCCGAATAAATTGATTTTTCTGGCTCTTTCAAATCCTTACAAAGATCCTGTTTAGACAAAACTTTCTGGGACTCAGGTAAAACTTTTCAAAAACAGGTAAAAAAAAGCGTGCTTAGGCCCTTTTAGGAAAATTTTCCCTTTTGAGCGCGCGTTTTCCCCTTCACATTAGTGTATAATTCAATTTCAAGCACCTTTTGGAATAATTTAGGATAACTTAAAATGTCATAAAATAATTGCAAACGGGGGACTCTTTAGGTCGTCAGGGTGTCACATCCCTGAAGTAAAAGTGTCAGTTTCCACCCCTCCCCCCATAAGTCTGCTACTGGGTTTTTATATTAGGAATTAGACCTGCTAAATTGTTCCAGATCTGATCATCTTTATTACAAAAAGAATGGTAAATTTCAAATTTATTTTTAATTTAAATTCAATCAGTTATAACTATATTCTAAGTTAGTTAAACAAGCTAGTTAAAAGTTAAGTTAAAAATAGGGTTTTTTCCACTGTGCCCCAACTTTTCAATTTCTGTTTTGAAAATTTAATTTAACGTTGTCATAATTCAGTAAAGTTTTGCAAGTCAAATCAATTCTTCGATCAAAAATTTCAGTAGTCCGCGCTAAACCCACCGTCGCTCATAGTATTAGACGGTAGATTTCAACACCAAAATTAATCAAAGGAAAAAAAGCTTCGCTATCTGCAACCACAACAAACAATGTACTTTCTGTGTTTTGGGTTCCGCTTACAAAGCAGCTTTGTTCAGTTGTTACTAAATAAGTTTTTTACAACAGTTTAGACAACTTTTTAAGAGTAAGGAACTGATTTTTCTGTCTTGCTGATTTTTTTTTCAGGAAAGTCTTAAAATTTGTTCACGCTCACTTTCGATTTTTCGCGGTTTGACTTGTGATATATATTTAAGTTCAGTGCATTTCTATTGTTAACTCCACTATCGAACAGCAAACATGTAGAGGTCACGAAAAACGTGATCAAATTTTTTTTCGAAAATGGAATTTTTTTATCAGATTTCCCAGCGAAATAAAAGTTTTAACTAATGATCGAGTTTTCTCAAATTGCGTTAATTTTAACAAAAAACTGTCCATCATAAAATGGTCTACAACTTCAAAGAGCGTTAAGTTCATCAATTTGTTTCTTCGAAATTCAAAATTGAAGATTTTTGAAAAAACAAATCGGTTTTTTCCAATTTCATTGCGTTCATTGCTCTTGTTCATTGCTCTTCATATTACAAAATGTAGTTGGACAAGACAATTACTCATTGAAACCTTACAAAACAAGAGCAGCCAATCGTTTTCGAAATTGTGCCAGTCATTACGTTCACCACTGAGATTGTGCAAATGATAAACAAAAACTGATCTCACTTTTTTAAGAGATTTTGTATTTTTTTGCTATTGAATCTAAAAGCAGATAAATTGCATATTTTAAATTGTTTTTAAGATGCTTTCAACTCTAAGATGCTTTCAATTTATAAAACTAGAACTTGCTTTGACACTAAATGACTATATCCAACAAAAATAAACAGTTCCGCATCAGAAATCAGCAGTTGTTGTTGAACTCGTTGGTCTTACGCCTGATTAAATAGTCCACACGGTCTTGTTCTGAAATCCTCTGGTCCACAAGGTCTAAAACCGGAATTTAACAATCCACACGGTTTGAATCCGATTCCTTTGGTCCACACGATTTGAATTAGGATTTCTTCGATCCATACGGTCTGAGTTCGGATTTTTTCAATCCACACGAGTTGAATTACACAGAGTATCTTCGGTCCACACGGTCTGAATTTGCAATTATTTGATCCACACGCTTTGAATCCAGACTTTTTTGGTCCGCACGGTTTGAATCCGGATTGTTTTTCCTCAAAATGGTCTGAATTCGGATTCTTTTGGTCCACACGGTCTCAATCCAAACTTATTTGGTCCACACGGTTTGAATCAGGATTTTTTCGATCCATATGTCCTGAGTTAGAATTTATTTGATCCACACGATTTGAATCAGTAATTCTTCGGCCCACCTTGTCTGAACTCGGATTTATTTGATCCACACGGTCTGAATCCGGACTTTTTCCATCCACACGGTCTGAATCCGGAATATTTCTTTGGTCGAAAGTTCTGATTTCGGGTTGTTTTGGTCCACATGGTCTGAATCCGGATTTTTTCGTTCCCGACGGTCTGAAACCGCATTCATTCGGTCCACACTTTTTGAACCAGGAGTTATTCGATCCATAGGGTCTGAGTTCGGGTTTATTCGATCCACACGATTTGAATCAGTAATTCTTCGGCCTAACTTGTCTGAACTCGGATTTATTTGATCCACACGGTCTGAATCCGGACTTTTCGATCCACACGGTCTGAATCCGGAATATTTCTTTGGTCTAAAGTTCTGATTTCGAATTTTTTTGGTCCACACGGTCTGAATCCGGATTTTTTCGTTCCCGACGGTCTGAATCCGAATTCATTCGGTCCACACGGTTTGAATCAGGATTTCTTCGATCCATATTGTCTGAGTTAGGATTCATTTGATCCACACGATTTGAATCAGGATTTCTTCGGTCCACACGGTCTGAGTTAGGATTTATTCGATCCACACGCTTTGAATCCAGACTTTTTGGTCCATGCGGCTTGAAACTGGATTCCTTTGGTCCATACGTTATGAATCAGGATTTCTTCGATCCACGCGGTCTGAATCCAAATATCTTCGGTCCAAACGGTCTGAATCCGGACTTTTTTGATCCACCCGGTCTGAATCCAATTTTTTTCAGTCCACACGGTCTAAATCCGAATTTCTTCAATCCACACTGTCTGAATCGGGATTTATTTAGTCCAAATGGTTTGAATCCTGATTTGTTTTTCAGTCCAAACAGTCTGCATCCGGAATTTTTTGGTCCACGCCGCTTTGTATCCGGACTTTTTTGATCACACACGGTCTGAATCTGGATTTATTTGGTCCACACGGTCTGAATCCGAATTTCTTCAGACCACACGGTCTGAATCCGGATTCATTCAATAGACATGGTTTGAATCAGGATTTATTCGGTCCGGATTCAGCTCTGTATCCGGACTTCTTCAATCGCACACGTTCTGACTCCTGATTTTTTTGGTCCACACGGTCTGAATCCGGATTTATTCAGTCCACACGGTCTAAATCTGGATTCATTCAATACACATGGTTTGAATCAGGATGTTTTCGGTCTGCACAGTCCGAATTCGGATTTTTTCTGTTTACACGGTCTTAAAGAAGATTCTTTCAGTTCAAACGGCCTGAATCCCGATTTCTTCAGTCCACACTGTCTGAATCCGGATTCCTTCAATACACATAGTTTGAATCAGGACTTTTTCGGTCCACACTGTTTGAATCCGGATTCATTCAATACACACGGTCTGAAACCAGACTCTTTCAGTCCACACAGTCTGAATCCCGATTTTTCAGTCCACACAGTCTGAATCCGGATTTTTGTTGGTCCACACGGTCTGAATCCGGATTCATTCAATACACGCGGTCTGAAACCAGATTCTTTCAGTCCAGACAGTCTGAATCCCGATTTCTTCGGTCCACACAGTCTGAATCCGGATTTTTGTGGTCTACATGGTCTAAAACCAGATTCCATCGGTCCACAGGGTATTACTCCAGATTTCTTCGATCCACGCGGTCTGAAACCGGGTTCCCTTAGTCCACGCGGTCTGAAACCGGGTTCCCTCAGTCCACGCGGTCTGAAAAAATTATAATCTGATCCCAACGGTCTGAACAAGCTAAATTTTAGTCCACACGGTCTGAACATAAAACTACGACCTTAACCCGGGACTCATTGCTTATCATTCCTAAAATTGAAATTGAACAGATCTTTTTTCTCGCCTCAATTCATAACAAGATTGGTTTTTTTTGCAAAACTTAGGTAAAATTCTTAAAAGAGAAAGCACAATTGGAGAGCTTTTTCTATAATACTAGACAGTGAACGAACATTTTTTGAGCAACCCAAAAGCTTAATATTTGAAGTGGTCAACTCAAAATTAAAAAACATTAGCAAGAGTAAAACATAGCTAACAGACATTTGGAAAAGAGTCAATGAACGTAAGTGTCAATGAACGTAAGTTGAAAAAAAAAATTCAACTTTTGAGTAAAAATTCAACTTCCAAGCAAATAAATAGATTGCCTTAAAAGTGTTTCAATTTCTAGAACAATTATTGACTGATAATTTTTTGATAAAATTAACCCAATTTGAAAAACTGGATCAATATGTATAACTTTTAGTTCGTGGGGAGGTCTAATAATTAAATTCCATTCTCGAAACTTTAAATCGATCACGTTTTTCTTGACTTTTACACTTTTTCTGTTCGATAGTGGAGTTTGCCTTCCTTTTAACAAAGGAATTGAACTGAATTTAAAAGAAAAGTAAAAGGCATACCGCAAACAAAAAAAATGTAAATTTGGGCCTGAATGATTTTTGCATGCATTTGTAAAAGCTGACATACCTTCTAAGCAGACCCGACAAAACTGAAATACACTACTAATGAGAAAACGAACTGATTTTTAAGAAACGATTAAAATTTTTAAAAACGATTAACGACATGGCTGCTCTTAAATATGAGTCTTCTACAGGAATCATTGCGCCCAAATTTGTCAGAAGCAACTTGAAAATATTTTTCCGCATTATAAAAGCTTTTCTTGGCTTTTTGATTCAGATAATTTTTTTAAATAAAGCTTTCGACGTAAAAATTGTATAGCCCTTTAAAAACACCAAAAAAATCGCTGCCTTGAGCAAAAAAAGCACCGGAAACTTTCTTTGCGTGCTTTTTTTATAACGTATGGCTTTTGAAAATTGTAAAGACAGTCAAAACATTGAATCAATTTTCCCCGGTTTCAAATCTAGCCAAAATAGATGAGTTGAATCAAACGGATGCGAGCAAGTTCGTCCCTTCATTTCCCTATGCGACACAAAACAGTTTTTCTCATTGAGCTCCCACAGCCTAAAAACAGAAAATTATAGCCCCCGCCCACACAAAAAGTTTTGTGCTTTGAAGGGTCTATAGTTTACTAGAGGAGCCATAATGGGAAAAAAAGACCCCCAAAAAATTGATACGTTATAGTGCTTGCAACTTAGAAAATCGCTTTTGATTTTAAACAATTTATTATCATTTGTTTCCCGATTTTGCTTAGCGCTGTCAAGTAGCGCTGAGTGTTCTACAAATTAGCATGCACAAGTTTCTGATTTTCAGGAGTGTCGGATCCGAGAAAGTAGAACACAACATCAGCACCGACCAAAGTAGCGTAAGCTCTGAGACAAGTCGCAGTCGCAATCGCAGTCGCGGGGTGTCCCGCTGTACCAAGCCACGAAGAGCGGGGTCTTTGCAGAGGTCTAAATCAGTCGGAAGTGTACCGAACCCTGCATTCACTCCAGATGGGGGGAAACCAAGTTGGGAACATGATTGCGTGGAGTATTATGGAAAAGATGGAGAGCTTGGTGGAGTGCTTCCTGAGAAGTACAGTGTCGATGGGGAGGCTCCCTTTTCCCCGGAGATACACGAGAGGTCAAATTTGATTGTCTACAGCCAAGCACTACCGCCTTCTTATGTTAGTCTCTTAACTTGCCGAAGATGCGAAAATTTTCAACGAAATATAATCAAGCATTTTTTGAACTTCACAGAGGCGCTTGATGAAGGATCTCAGTTTACGAAAAAATGCATATTTAACACTTTATCACTTCAACGGAAAACGAGATTTTACGTCATTCCCTTCTCATCACAGACTCAAACACACATTCTAAATATAGTATTATTAAAGCGGTGACTAGATACGTGAAGTATGAAGAACAAATTTGTTCACAATAGCTAGTTCGTTGCTCGCCATGCAGAGTTTCATTGCATTATGACGCACGAGTAGTTTTCAAAATCTAACTTTAAATGTAGGGTGGGGGTAGGAAAAAAGACCACTAACTGCAAAGTTGCGCCTGAATATGTTGCTCAAGATATAAAATTCCGCTTCGTCGTTTTGATTTATTATGATACCAACTAGCAATTAGGGATCAAATTAACATCCTCTAGCCCCCCGCCCCCCAAATAGACCAAGTTAAGATCCTCCACCCCAGCGCTTAATTTAAATTAAAATTGCTAAGCGTTGCATGTAAAATGCTCGATTCTGATTGGCTGAAAATTCCCAACTTAGAACCAAGTTAACATCCTCCCCCCTAAACGTGTTTAGGGTTTAGGGGGGAGGATGTAAACTTTTTCCGCAATTAGATTGAAGCATTTGGAGAATCAAAGTGCTCAAATCTAATTGGTTGTGGCTATAGTAATAAACTAAAACGAAATTGAATTCTATATCTAGAACACCGCATTTTTCTAATTTTGCTAGACTACCGAAATTCTCACAACCATAAAAAAGAGGCCGTCATGCTAATAACTCTTAATCCAAAAAAAGTATGTCGTCAATTGAAAGTCAGTATGTCGCCCAAGTTTTTATGTGTCGATGAACATAGTTAAGGTTTATGTAAAGGTCGCGATGATTTTTTTTTGTTTCTTTGGGAAAAGATTTTCAGAAAAATGTGCTCAGGTTCGAATGAATCGATTTTCTCGCAGTTTAAATTTTGAATTCTTTCAAAACCTTTTCATTCCCTTTGTTGAAAAATCAGGCAATCTCCACTACCGAACTGCAAAATTCCAAAGGTCAAAAAACGATATCAACGTTTAGTTCCGAAAATGATATCTAAATTTAAGATTTCTCAGCGAAAAAAATCTTACTTTTTGATCTAAATGATATAAATCAATTTTCAAAATGATTTAGTTTTTATAAAATAATAACAAAGGTGGGACCCTTAAGTTTGTGAGGGGGTTGAATCCTTGAGGGGGTGAGGGGGAAGAGGATCGAAACCAGAAAAATATGCCATACTCACCCTGGGTCGTAGACCGATTTTTTAGTTGCAAAGTCTGGAAACGCCTAAATCTCGTCGCAAAAGTATGGAATTACCAAAATGTGGTCGTTAAAGTAGTCACATAAAATGCGGACCTTGGCCCTGGAAGGGTTCAAGTCGATATTCTTAAAATAAAAGGACTGCTTCACTATGATGCTTGCTAAAGATACGGAGAGGTGATAATCTGCTCACTTTGTTTAAGTTGAAATTCAAATAAAAATGTGATAAAACACTGTAGAGACTTACATTTACCTCAATTTTTTCAAAACTTCCAACTTGACGTAGATCTCTAAGCAAAAAATTAGGTCAACGCAGATGTCTGAGAAGCTTATGAACGGCCTGCTAAATAAAAAACTGAAGCTAGAGTTCTTTGTTGACTTAACACCTAACATTGACAAAATAGCTTCAGTTTTTGCGTCTCTTAAGTTGGTTTGAATAAATGAATTTGTGGGTTAGTGCCAAAGTTTTTAGTTCCTCTGCCTGCAAAAATTAAATAAAACATCGAAAAACTCCCAAAACTATAAACTTCCAAATTCTATTGCAAAGAAACTAATTTACCGCAGCATAAGTTACCGAGCTGAAATGCATGCACTTTTTTCTACAACGCCAAAACCACTTTTTAAACTTATTTTAACAAATTTGTGCTTTCTTTGACTGCTGTCATGAACGATTTTTATTTCCAATAATGGCGGCTTTAGATCCAATCTGAAAGTCTGCTCTTTTCCCTAAATGCTAATAAAGATCTGTTGTTATTAGTATGCTGTTATTAGTGTGCTTTGCGTTTTTAATACCTGTTGTATGGAGTGCGTTCTGAATTCAGAAACTGAATAAGCCAATAAGAATCGAGACAAGGAAGAAATGAATTTCATATCTTTCTTTGTTTCGATCCTGATTGGTTAATACAGTGTCTGAATACGCGGTTGTCTAAATAATGCTACGTAACCCTGTTGTATACTAACTTTTGTGAATGACGGCAGCTTAAGGTCGTTATTTGCCGTTCAATAATCAACCTAGTAAACAGTTTCTGAGCTTTCTTAGCTTTCATACGTTTGTTAATAGTTACTTGTGATACAATTGAGTTCAATTGTGGTATTTGTTTTTATTGTCGTGAGTAGCCCCCTTAGGCTTTGCACTTCAAAATACAATTATACTTCTTTAAATTGAAATGACTTTTTTCAAGTCTTTCAATCCACCTGTTCCCTTTGAATTGGCCGCTTCAGTGTTTTTCTAGCAATTGAAACCAGCACAATGCAACAATGGCAGCTTCAGATTATGACCTCAAATCAATTTATTACTGGGCTGGCCAAGTTCTTGCTTTACTGCTTGGAACAATGCCCTCCTCGGGCTTTATGCATTTTTAAACATATTTTCTGAGCAAATTCCTTTTTACGGGGATGCAGCAATGGCAAGGGCACCAAAATAATCAAAGTGATGTCAGAGTTTGGTGAAGTTTTACCAGGAGATCATTTTTTTTATTGCGGTATTTTCGGTTATCTGGCCAAAATTTTGAAATATTACATATGTTGCTCAAGATATTAAATTCCGCTTCGTCGTTTTGATTAATTATGATTCCAACCAGCAGTTCGAGTTAAGCATTTGGAATAGTAGCATGCACTTTTTTCTACAACGCCAAAACCACTTTGTTAACTTATTTTAACAAATTTGTGCTTTCTTTGACTGCTGCCATGATCGATTTTTATTTTCAATAAATGCGGCTTTCGGTCCAATCTGAAAACCTGCTCTTTTCCCTAAATCTGCTGTTTTTAGTTTTCTTCGCATTTTTAGTACAGGTTGTATGGAGTGCGGTCTGAGTTCAGACACTGTATTACCCAATCAGAATCGAGACAAGGAAGAAATGAATTTCATATCTTTCTTTGTTTCGATCCTGATTGGTTAATACAGTGTCTGAATACGCGGTTGTCTAAATAATGCTACGTAACCCTGTTGTATACTAACTTTTCTGAATGACGGCAGCTTAAGGTCGTTATTTGCCGTTCAATAATCAACCTAGTAAACAGTTTCTGAGCTTTCTTAGCTTTCATACGTTTGTTAATAGTTACTTGTGATACAATTGAGTTCAATTTTGGTATTTGTTTTTTATTGTCGTGAGTAGCCCCCTTAGGCTTTGCACTTCAAAATACAATTATACTTCTTTAAATTGAAATGACTTTTTTCAAGTCTTTCAATCCACCTGTTCGCTTTGAATTGGCCGCTTCAGTGTTTTTCTAGCAATTGAAACCAGCACAATGCAACAATGGCAGCTTCAGATTTGGCCTCAAGTCAAATTATTACTGGGCTGGTCAAGTTCTTGCTCTACTGCTTGGAACAATGCCCTCCTCAGGCTTTATGTGTTTTTGATCATATTTTCTGAGCGAATTCGTTCTTACGGAGGGGGGGGGGGATTCTTTAGAGAATGAAAAAAATAGTTTTTTATGGGCGATTTTTTTCTCTAATGCTTGGATAGAAAATGGACTAGAAACCACCAAAGCCGGACACTAATTTTACTGTCGGATACCAGAAGATGGTGTTATTCTCAACGATGATGATGATGTTGACGATGAACAAAAAAAACATGTCAAAAAATACTGAACCGAAGGAAGATCATCCCGTTCGAGGTGCTCCACTTATGTTTCGGCTTGGAAAGTCGAGAGGGTGCAGTTCTGCTATTGAAAATCAATGGACGAAAATATTTTTGGTCGACGGCAGTCGCAACATAAGTCGAACACAGTCAAAACAGGACGAGCACTGCTCTAATTTTTATACTTATTATTTTTTTTAAAGTTAAATAACTTTCAAAAACCCAATGCGAATCAACGCAAAATGAGAACCAACAAGATTCTGTTTGAAACAGTTAGTTTTCGCTGCCTAAATTTGGCAATAAAGATCACCTGAAAGCATACATATTCATATCATTTTCAAACTATTCTAATCACTGGATGCTCGAAAGAACCCATGTGAACAATCTCCCCCCTCAATCGACCAAGTGAACAATCTCCAACCTAAAATTAAATTGCAAATTATGCAGTATAAGACCTGCATGTACTATGCTCAAATCTGATTGGCTGAAAAATATCATTTTCAAACAAGTGAACCATCTCCTCCCTAAATTGATTCTATGGGTCCGTCGAAACACCGATTTTTGACCGAGATGATTGAAGCAATCTAAATTTGCCGTTAACGTCAAAAACGTTTCCGATAATTTTGGGTTACTACAAAAATATGGAACGCTTCACGATTTTGCGTGTCATCCTTGCGCAGGGGCCATGCTAATCTTCTCTGTATCGTTCCAATTTTAGTATATGTGCTGCCGAAGCTAGCACGTCATAATGTGTCTCGGCTTTTATATGATTCTACATGGTAAAGTTTTCAAAGATATGGCTGAGCTAAGAGCTCTGCGCTTTTTCTAGTTCAATACGTTTTTGAAAAAATAAAAACTTCGCCGGAGTTTTTGGTGCTAACATTAGAGAAATCTTCATTTTTATTTTGGCGATTCGAAGGCTTCAAACATACCAAAATATGATCACAGACTCTTTGTGCCTTGGTTCTTAAGTTATAAGCACCATTTGTCCAAAATACACGTTTGGCACTACGTCTCTAGTGACTTTAATGCGTACTTAAATGGTATATATCAACAGCCTAGCCTGTGTAATACTTGCCATTCAAATTGACGCCTCACAGTCCCGCGCACTTATCTGCTCATGTGGTACAATACTATCATTCTGGTGTGTTTGTCCGAATGTCCGAGGAAAGTGAGGAGCATACATGCTCGAGGCGGTTTTTTTTACTTTTCTTAAGAATATTTTGGTGGAGTCCCTCATGATGATGAAGGAACCGAATGTTGGAGATTTATTCTCCCTGGTAGGTCACCTAGAAGGGAAATTCTACGGTTCTACGGTAGGTCACTTTAGCTTGGGGGGGGGGGGGGGGGTCATACGGTTTTGAGTCCAAATTGCTTATAAAATTTCACTGAGTAGTAAAAGTGCAAGTGAAATTGCAAGTAAAAGTGCACAGAGAAGGAAAAAAGAACCGGAGTTTGATTTCCAACTCGATCAAGATATAAGCTTTGTCTATTTGGTGATGTCCCATTTGTACCAACGGTCATTTGTACCAAAATGAAAAATCGTCCCATTTGTACCAAAATTATTCAACTCGATTTCTGATTGGTCGAATTGTGAGCCAACGAATTATTACATTAATTTTCCACTGTTCAAACAGAAGAAAACTAAACAGCAGAATAGTGACCGCCGCAGTCGCGCCAACGTGTTGCGAGCTTGCCAACAGAGGGTAGGACTCTATACGAAAATTAGAGCCGGTTATCGCCGCAAAGCGGCGACGCGCGCGTAGCGCGCCCACCGGCGACCTTAAACCGAGACTCGGCTTATTTAGTCTTTTGGCCAATTGAAAAGATTTGGAACTTATGCAACTGCTATTTTATTTTGGAACCTATGGGACTGATTTTTCATTTTGGAACCTATGAATACGCACCATTTAGCCCAGGCCTATGCGAAACTTTACTGCAAACCAAGAGCTTAAAGTAGTCGGCTTAATAGTCTTAGGCCAATTGAACATTTTAGGTACTAACGCAATTGATTTTTTATTTTGGGACTTGTGAATACCCACCGTCTATTTTAATCCCTCTAGAACATTCTTGTTAACGTCACATGAACGAGCGAGCTTCAATTTAATCTAGAATATTCTGCTGTCAGAGCGTGAAAATTATGCAGTAACAATTTTGTGACGCCAGTTCTAGAATGTTCTAATTTCTGAGTGTCTTCTGCGTCTTAATTCATGATTATACTAGAATTTTCCTTGAGCCAAGTATAAAAGCAGACACTTGGTGCGTATTCATAGGTTCCAAAATAAAAAATCAGTCCCATAGGTTCCAAAATAAAAAAGCAGTCGCATAAGTTCCAAATCTTTTCAATTGATCAAAAGTCTAAATTAGCCGAATCTAGGTTTAAGGTCACCGGTGGGCGCGCTACGCGCGCGTCGCCGCTTTGCGGCGATAACCGGCCCTAAATTTCGTATAGAGTCCTACCCTTTGGTGGCAAGCTCGCAACACGTTGGCGCGGCTGCGGCGGTCACTATTCTGCAGCTTGAGTTTATGCTGGTTGAACAGTAAACAATCAATCCATAAATTCGTTGGCTCAAATTTCAACCAATCAGAATTCAAGAAGATAAATTTTGGAACTTATGCGACTGATTTTTTATTTTGGAACCTATGAACATTGGAACCTATGGGAATTCGCCAGACACTTTCCCACCTTCAAACAAATAAAATTAAACTTTCAGCTACTTTTGCTATCACACTAAAAATCAAACTTTCACTGGTTGCCTCAATTCTTGCGCTCAAAGTACGCAACTTAATTCCACAGCAAAAAAGCAAACCGCGCCTAACTTTCAAAAATGCTGCGAAATTTTGTCGATTACGATCCGTATCTTCTGGTACGACCAGGAAATAACCACAGGGGACGACCTTCATCATCGGCAGCGCTATACCCGAGCCGAATGACTTGGCTTTCTCCGCACACTAACCATTTGATCCAGTCGCTCCTCCGAGACGAAGACAACTTGGACCACGACCTCCGAAGCTTAAACTCTCTTTTCGGATCAGGCGTGAACAATGAGCAAATGAGGAACTTCCGAGATGCGGCCGGAGTCGGGAAAGACGACTGGGCTTCGGTTGTTGATACTCGGGGTTTCAAACCAGACGAAGTGAATGTTAAATTGGAGGGAAATACTTTGTTGATGTCTGGAAACACCGAATGGCAGAGCTCGGACGGGACGCACAAACGAACGAAGACGTTCTCCCAGGCATTCTCGATTCCGGAAGATGTCAAAATGGACACTTTGAAGACGAAGATGATGGACGATGGCTCTCTGGTTGTTCACGCCGAGCGAGAGATGAAAGAGGAGAAGAAACCTTCGATTCGGGAAATTCCGATCGAGAGAATTCAGCAAAAGGAAAATGCTGAAAGATAGATGGGATATTCAACTTATCTTATCTTAAATTCAGCATCCGATTTCAAACTATAAACTCTGATTTGTGTTTTGTTTTATTTTATGGCAGTAATTCTAGATTTAAATTTGTCGGCAGAACATTTTAGATCATTTAGCTATGCGCCTATAATTCAAAATTTTGTTTTCAATATTTTCAATTCTCATACAAAAACTGGTATATTTTTAAATTCAAACGGAGCCAGGGTCTGATCTAGACAATGAGCTCAATGCCGAGAAAAAAAACAAGCAGAATGGGTACTACTATGATAGAGTGGTCCCTTGAAAATAACCAGGTCCCTTGAGAGAAAGACATAAGAGGCTCTGAAATGTTTAATAAATTACGATTTCGCCATTCAGAAAGATGTCGCAGTATATTTTCAAACAAATTTTAAGTTTCTTTGTTTCATAAAACCTTCTCCCTCAACATTTTAAGGTGGGAAATTCAAAAAAAAATTACCAAAATTGAATTTTGATGACAAATGAGCCAATCCAATTATTGTTGTTAAACCGTAATATAAGTTGAAGCGAGCATATTTGATATAAAAACTATAGTAATTACAGTTTTTAATCTGAAAGGTTTCTGACTCAATATATTTTGCCAGATTTTTGAAACGAATAAATTATAATGAAACTAGTTTTTTTTGTAAAATTATAACATGCGAAATGCATGCGGGACGTGTCCATCATAGCTGTTTTTTCGAAGGACCACTCTATCATAGTCGTACCGCAAAATGAAGGCTTTTTGGCAGGTAATTGAGAAAATTAGGCGGTAAACGAATAATTGTTTCACACCATGCTTGACCGGACCTAGTAAACATCCTCCTCCCAAATCCGTTGAGGAGGGAGAGGATGTTAACTTGGTTCTAAGTTGGAATTTTTAGCCAATCAGAATTGAGCAATTCACAAGCAGACCTTAGCAGATCTATTCTGAATTAAATTATGGGGTGGAAGATCTTAACTTGGTCTAGTTGGGAGGAGGGATGTTATCTTGATTCGCTTGCCCTTTTATCGAACGAAAATAAAATTACGATTAACTATGGTGTAGTATAGAGTCATTAAACGTTCGACTAACAATTTTCTACTAATGGGTGCTTTGCTTCTGCTTTGTTTGCTTTGCTGTCTCTCTTAATTGAATACCAGGTTCACTGTCTGGATTGGAACGGTCTCCTTGTCATTCACCCTGCTCTCTGGAGTAGTGTTGGCTTTTAAAAGAACGATGACAAAAAATTTTATTTGAGATTTTTTTCAAAACCCATACTCGATGAGCTATGTCAATTACAAACTGATAAATTTCTCATATAGCAAAATAATTTTTCATTTTGAACAACTTCTAAGACAGGTTATATCTCCACTTATGCGTTAGTAGCAAGAAGTATATCGCGCATTAATTATCGCAAAATGGCAAACTTCAAACCCACATAACTTTGCAAAAAATGATCACAGATTATATCTCTTTTTGAATTTGAGTTCGAAAACAACGATAAATTATTTAAAAAAACAGTGTCAAAAATTGCAAGTTAAAAAGGCAAAGTTTGTTTATTTAGCACAAACTTTCTGTCAATTTTTTTTAAAAGTCGGAACTATCAAAATGTTGTTCACTTTCTTCGAACGTCAAAAAAAGGAGCTCGTAAATCAGTGCGAAGCTTCGGATTGCACTTTAAGGTCAATAAAAAAACTGTAATTGAGAAACTGTTAATAAAACAAAAAGATAACAAAAATTGTTCTACATTTTTTTTCAGTTTATTCACCACATGCTAATGTAGACTACTAATGAATGAATTTTGCGTCTAATATCCTATTAAAAGACCAAATGACCTGCAATGAGGAGCGCCGTACGCGTGTTATAAGAACGCAATATTTTGCGGATTAACTATCACAAATTGACAAAATTGGCAAGATTTAAATTTCTATAACTCTTAACAGGATAATTTTTTAATTTTAGCTCCAGGAAACCTTTTTCTTCAGATGCTCTTCAAAAATGCTTAAATAAAAACTCAAAAATTGGCTAGAAAAAAAAACCAGCATAAATTTTCAGCTTTTTCTCTGAAAGTAGGATCAATTATCAGCAAACAACGCTCACTCTCTTTTCTACCATTTTAGCAAAAACCTAGCCAAAGGTACTTTGATGAGCAAAAATTCGTGTTTGTACAAAGCAGTCCCATAAAAAAAACAGACCAGTCTAAAACAGTCCGGAGAAGTATAAAAATGAACAAAAACAGTCCGAAACAAAACAGACCGGAAAACAGTCCCAAGTAATAATTGTTTTAACAAGCCGATAGGCTGAGAATTGTCCTCTGTACAACAAACATAAAGAACAAAATAATGACCGCCGCAGTGGCGCCTACGTGTTGCGAGCTTGCCAACAGAGGGTAGGATCTAATACAAAATTTAGAGCCGCTTAAACCGGACTGTTTTGTTGGTTGCAAAAATTGAATTACCGACGAGTTTGAAAGGAGTTCATGAAAAGAATTACCAACAAAATTTGAAAGGATTGTTTAGAGACTGCAAAAATTGATGACTGCAAAAATTGATGACGATTTTGTTGACTGTAAAATTGAATTACCGACAAATTTGAAAAAACTTCTTGAAAGTATTACCAACTAAGTTGAAAGGAGTTCTTGAAAGGAATTACCAACAACTTTGGAAGGACTGTTTTCTGACTGCAAAAACTGAAGACTTCTTGAAAGCATTATCAACTAATTTGAAAAGAGTTCTTGGTGCGACGTATGGTTTGCATAGTGGAAAAAATCAAAATCTAATAAAAGTGTTTTTTGCACTACGAATAATTTTTCTCAGTCATTTTTGTCAAATAACCTAATTTTTACGGTTTTCTAGAGAAAAAAATATGGTGAAAAATCTCTTCCTTACATAGCATCAAATATGTTGCGACGTATGATTTGCATGGTGAAAATTTTTGATATTTTACCAACAGCTTGCATAATGATGAGAAACCGTTTTATTACTAATTTACTACGTTAAAAAGCTATTTTGAGGGTTTTCGAAACCAACGTATGTGCTACGTATGATTAGTCATTTTCCATAAAATCATGCATGAATGTGCATGGTTGCGCATTATCTTTTATGGTGGGCAACCCGGGTTTTCCAAGTAACTTGAATGGCGTTGATTTCGGCCTCTTGGCACATAAGAGCACACTCAAGTAAGGGTTGTAACTTGCTAGCACACTTTAATCAGGACTAACAATTAGTATCAAGTGGAACAATATTGCTCCAATCAGGGTGAAGCCTGAGTGATCCGAGCGCCTCCTCAGGTCAATAGAGCAGTGTTTGCTGCAAAAAAAATTGATGAATTTTTTTTTAAAAGAAAAAATATCGGAAATCTTTTTTGAACTTTTTAAATCATTCCCCCGCACTATATGCAAAGTACAAAGTAGTATGTTTCGCATAAAGCAAAGTATTGAATTGATCAAATAGCATTCCTCAAAGCAATTTGGAAAGATTTCAAAAGATGGGTTAAAGTTGAGCTTACGGATCAATAGTGCAAAATATATTGCGCTTAATTTGTCCCAAATTGGCCAAAAATGCAATCTTCAGACCCCCATAACTTAATAAACAGTGATCACAGGCAGTAGCGGATTTAGGGGGTGGGGGGCGAGGTGGGTGGCGGACGGCTTTCTCCCCCCTCAGGGATTCGACCCCTTGTCGACCCAAAGGGTCCCCCTTTGTAATTTTTTGAGATATCCATTTTTGACTGACTGACCTTAAAATTTGTGCCTAAAATCGTCTTTTTTGGCCTTTTTCCCCCTTTGTACTATTTTGAGATATCCATTTTTGGCTGATCTTAAATTTTTCTAAGAGCGCGCGCTGAAAAAAAAGCAATTTTGGCCTTTTTTCAAATATTTGCCTGCAGCGCAGAAAATTTGGTCAAATTAGGGTCTTTATGGTGTTTTGGGAGAGAAAAAAGGGTCGACAAAATTTTCAAAGTTTTTTTTGGAAATCCGACCCTTCCCTTGAGAAATTCCTAGATCCGCGCCTGATCACAGGTAATTTTTCTATAATTTCAGCTCAGGACAACAATACCTTTCGAAGATTATTTGAAAAAAAAAACTGTAAAAAATAGCTAGTTAAAAAGTCGAAATTCGTCTGGAGAAAAAAACACCCCGAGCACAATAATTCCGTCATTTTTTCGAAAGTCAGAACAATAAACCAAATTATTTTCGGAAATAAGGTTTTAAAAAAATGAAAAAAAAAATTTGAACGACCCGGGATGGTTTTTTTGGATTAACTATTTTTTTTTGAAACGGTTTTTATGCTTTGAAAAAAAATGAGTTGTAATTTTTTCTAGATTTTAAGTTTTGAGAGGTTTTAAATGAAAAAAATTTCCAGGGAGCAAAAAACCCCGTATGTTGATCCTTTTCCTCATGAATAAATGGTTTCACCCAACTGAACCTCTTGTTTCAGGCGTCATTTGATTTTACGAAACAAGAACTGAACTGTCAAATAATAGAGTTGACAGACAGCGAGGACAACTATAGGACAGGGTCCGGACTCTCGGGACGCGGCAGCTACTATCACGTGACGGAGAAGTACGACGAAATAGTAGACGCTGCAACTAACACCTCCACCCCCTCCGCCTATGCCAACATAAACATATCCGCCTGCGAGGCACCCGAAGGTTTCGGGCTCTTCAACTATTAGCATTCGAATCTTTCTAGAAGTTTCTTAAGTTTACCTTACAAGACGCCCTTTCATAAAACTTTTTCACTACAATCCTTGTCAAACAGCCATAAAAAAAAACGAAAATAATTTTTCTTCGGTGAAAAAGATTAAAAAAGAATAAGAAAGAATTTTATTGATTGAAAAATAATGCTTTCAACCAAGAAAACGAGCTGTTCCGTAATTGATTTAGAGGGGAAGATTAGATAGATTATTCACTTGGTCATTTTTGCTTGGTGATGGTTGCAAGAAAAGGTTAATTTACACATATGCTAATTGTTACTTTCTCGAAGGTTTCGATCCTGTCTACACCACGTGTCCATATTGCAAATACAGTGGAATAACCGACGTAGTAATTGACCGAAAAAACGAAGCCTACGCGTGGTTCATGATTCTGCTCATGTTAATGCTGTGGCCGTTTTGCCTAATTCCGCTTTTTTTGAAAAGTTGCCAAAAGCCAACCCATTTTTGCCCGAGATGTCAACTTCAGCTATCAAAAGATCAAAATATGATCGGAACAATAGCTCATCCGGAACAAAACGTGGTTGAAGATTACATAATATTGGCGAAGAAGAAAGATGTTCAGGATAAAAGCAGAGACACTCTGGCTCCGTAGTATTTATTGAAATGACTGGATATTGCTATTTATTTGAAAGTAATTTATTGTTTTTACCCAATCATCTTTTTAAGATTGATATCTTCTGGCGCCTATCAACAAACTCGCTGAAGGATTTCTTACCCCAGGAAAAAATCTATGGAAAAATCCACTGTAGAATTTTAATCAAGACGCCAAAACTCGTATAACTGACATTTATTATGATATTGCTTAACAAAATACAGGCAAATCCTAAGCATTTTAGAGCTCAATCAACCTAAATTAAAAATTAAAACTGACAGAGATATATCCATCCTGGTTACTGGGCCAGTTTTTCCATGCTAAAAATAATTACAAGAGGCTGACAATTTTTTCGCAGACAAACGCAATAAAAAAACTGCAATAAAGGAACGAATATAACTGCAAATTACAGTCACGAGACATACAGTCACGGGACATAGAAGTTGCAACTTTTTGATTTGAACGAGAAAAGGAACGAAATACTTTGTCTTCACGTTTTGTTCGTTTTCTCTGCAACTATTTAAGATACAGGATTTATATTTTGAAAAAAATAGATGAAATTATGTTAAAATGCTTAACAGGGTCGAAAATTGACAAATATTGCTTTGAGGGCGTAACTAACTTTACTAACTATGCGTAACTAGTTATCATAACTAAAAAATTTATAGGTTTTCTTGCCGTGGAAACAACCTCACAAACAATGTAAGGAATTCGAATTCCTTGCACTGTTTGTGAGGTTGTTTCCTTAGCAATAAAGTCTGTGAAATTATTTATTATAAGCTGGCTAATTTACGCCATCAAAACACGATTTTTCATTTTTTTGGCCCGGTTAAGGCTTTCAAATATTTTCATCTACCTTTTGTCAAAATTTGAATCCTGTATCTTACATAGTTGCAGAAAAAACAAATAAAACATGAAGAAAATTCAAAATTTCAAACAATTAAATGAACAAACTTTCACGTTTTTGCCGTTTCTTATGTAGAATTAGGGGATCTTCTCTTTGCGAAGCTGTCCCTTTGGCAGTGAATTCAGCGGGGAGACCGAGAGTCACTACTTTCTACAATCACGAAAGGGTTATTTTGGAGGCAACAATTCTGTATTGTATTAGTTGCTTGCCCCTCTGTGTATTGCTCTTCGGCTCTCTTGTCCCGTCTACTTGATACAATCACAAGGGTTTCCAGTGATAAGTAATTTAGATTATTATATGTCCCATTACAGAAGGCTCTGAGTGGCCAGGATATAATCTAAATTCAAGTCAAAGGGAAGGGTCTGCGGTTTATCGCTCAAATTGCCTAATTGCGATTAATTTCCAACTAACTACGCTAATACTAACTATTCTCTCTCTTTAGAGAATCTCTGATGAGAACTAATTATTACTGGTCTCTTACTCCGAGAACCAACTATTCGATTCACTCGCAATGATTCTTCTGGTTCTTACAGGCTCTCCGGTACCCTCCAATTCCTTATATTTCTTAGCAATTAGTTTTAGTTAAGTCACGCCATTCTCTATCAGTCCTGACATCCGCCTAAATCTTCCGACCGCACATGTTTTTAGGCTATATCCCTCCTCCTGTCAACTCTGCCACGTGCCAACTTCGATTTCTTTTATCAATCTTTTCACACTTATTAGATACCCGGTATGCGGTAGCTGTCACAATTTAACCAAGCAAACAAAGGTCATAAGATTCTAATCAACCAATTCCTGAACTCTGTGAACTTCAGCTCTCGAGTTCAACTCAACCTCCAAGCCATGCTATGTTTACTCAGTAATCCTCTCAAGGTCTTTATTTTAATTATCCCGTTAACGTTCCGACCTCCCCAGGATAGGGCGTGACCCTTTTCATGGGTAGCTAATTCATTTCAAGCATCTAAAAATTCTATCTGTACTCTAATCCAATCCCAACGTTCTAGCTATTAGGGGAACGTAGTTCATCTATTAGGGGTCAAATTAAACCACAAAGTCACCTCCGGGAAGCCAAGTAAATTCTCCGTCCGTTCATACTATTTAGGAAACTTAACTCTCATGCTACGGTCCTATTAATATCAATTTCCTCTGGGACTACTTTTCTTTTAGTCTAGTTGAATTGCTATTAATAGATCACTCGCCAAGCTAAACTGAACCCATTGTTTACCAAGTACACTTTAAAATAAACCCTCTACTCCGAGGTTGCAATGTAAAAGCTATATCTCTAACAGCTTCTGCCCTAGTTCCCAAAGTATGAGTTTTCCCCCATTTTTTAGCAGAGTGACCCAGGGGTTGGACTGGGAAATACGCCACTTGCCGGTGTTAATATTGGGGCTCTCCATGCAAGTTTGGGGACAAAATGCCCAAAGGTCAACTTAAGGTCACTCAGGGGTCAACCGGGGTCAAACTTCCATATTTGGGTTCAGAATCCCATGGGGGCCCTAACTACCACGTTTCATCATATCCCGTTAATACTTCCCAAGTTATCCCATTTCTAAGGTCCATTATCACTATTCCCGGGGAAAAGCTTTTAACACCCGAAGGAGTCACCGGAGGGGTTTCAATCACAAGGGGTCTTTTTTCGGGGATGAGTTGTAGTATCTGATGCCGTCATAGAATCGATATGTCCTCGCTCATTATTTTGCGTAAATTGCCTATTTCCGATCTAAGGGTTTGTTTTTCCAAGTGCTAATAGCTTCCGGCCCTTGTAAATTATAATACAAGATGTAAATTATAATACAAGATGTATCTTGCCACTACCTATCATCCCTCCAAGATTCAGCTCCCTGCGATCATTGGAGGCCGAGAAACGACTTCTGGAAGTTAGGGGTGGGTTTGATTACTTAGGGCATAAAACCGGAAGTGGGAATCTGAGGGGTCTGGGTTTTCAAACTTGCGCTCCCCTTAACTAGGCCAACAATATACTAAAATTTGAGCCCAACACCGCCGCTAGTTTCCGAGTTCTGATAGGGCCATTTACACTTCCGGGTACCGTTATCACTTAGCCCCAAGAGTCTGAGGGGTCCCATTTTTTGTATGCCCGGGCCAAATCATCTCTAGCATCGCTCCTCTGAATTTCATAACATTAGCTTTCTTAGTTCCGATTTGGAGGGGGGGGGCTTGCAGATTTCACTCCCCCTGCAATTTCCACCATAGGAGGGACTATATCTTCGAAAATTTAAACTTATTTTGGGTATTACTATTTGTTTACTTCACTACTTATCGGAAAAATTGTTTTAAATGTAAGTACGATTATTCCTGTCCTATGCAATATTCATCAGGACGACTTACATCATCAGAGGGGTTATCTGGAACTGGAACGTTCCACTAATCGCAAGTATCACACCGATAATTTACGGGAAGCTGCCTTCTTTTTGTGTGCAAATTGCGAGGAATGCTCGAAGCGGCGGGCGATTTTATTAAGTGACGGTCCTTTGAAGCACCTTAGCTTGAGAATCCGCCGCCAGTTATGCGAGCGGTTGGTTTTGACCATGGGTAAAGCCCCCGTCCACAATGAAGACTGCGGAACAATAATTCCCGCTACGCACGAGCCAATTGAAGTCGAGCGTGCCCGCCCTAAATCGAGTTGTTTTCTGGACTGTTTACATTATCTGCTCACTGGAAAACACGCCGTTTCCATTCAGCTCCAGAAAACTTTCAGAGAACAACAGTGGAAACTGCAATCGCTATTCCAATCGTTTTATTACTCACCCTTTGACCCGAGTTTATCGTTATTGGACCGAGGAGTTCTCGAGTCGGATTTACATATTCTGGCGGAATTCCTCGGTGTGCATTTTTACGAATATCGGGACAAAGAAGAAAGCCCCCGGTGGAATTACGTCGCGGGGCACAAACGCGGTCGGGGTGGCGCTGAGGCAATCTACCTGTACTACCGCGTCCAGACAGAGGGGCCTCAAAAAGGGGAGGGACATTCAGCATTAATTACGGGGATGAGGCCAAGAGCTTCTTAGGTAAGCCTAGAATTTCGTATTTTTGCCGTTTCTTTTGTAGAATTAGGGGATCTTCGCTTTGCAAAGCTGTCCCTTTGGCAGTGAATTCAGCGGGGCGACCGAGATTCACAACTTTCTACAATCCCGAAAGGGTTATTTTGGAGGCAACAATTCTGTATTGTATTAGTTGCTTGCCCCTCTGTGCATTGCTCTTCGGCTCTCTTGTCCCTTCTACTCGATACAATCACAAGGGTTTCCAATGATAAATTATTTTAGATTATTATATGTCCCATTACAGAAGGCTCTGAGTGGCCAGGATATAATCTAAATTCAAGTCAAAGGGAAGGGTCTGCAATTTATCGGTCAAATTGCCTAATTGCAATTAATTTCCAACTAACTAGGCAATACTAACTATTCTCTCTCTCTCTAGAGAATCTCTGATGAGAACTAA